GCATCCCTGACGACAGCAGCCAGCAGCGAGGTGGAGATCTACGACGCGAAGGCGATGGCGGTGATGGACCTCGAGTGAACCATGGCACCGCAAGTGGTGATCAAGATTCCCCTCGGCACGTTCATCAAGGCAGTTGTGACGACCATCCTGATGATCGTGGGCCTTCTCACAGTGTGCTACGTGACCTACAGCAAATGGTCCGAGAAGGAGACGAGCACGATCCATCCAGAGCCGGAACCTGAGCAGCCAGAAGATAAGATGAAACACAAGCGTGAGCAGAAGGTGAAGATCAGCAGTATCAGGTGGAACGTCGGAGTTCAAGGGCCTATACACTACTCATCTGTGGGCCAGCCTGACGGAGTCTACGGACGATATGTTCACGCTACGCAGGGTTTCTCCCGAGGCTGGGAAGTGACGAGATAGCTAGCGGAATCCCGTGCTGGCCTGAAGGGCCAAAGTGAGTGAGCCCCGGCAAAACACGTTGTGCATCCTGTTCCAGTCTCGAAGTTTTTTTTCTCCCCCCCCTCGTAATGAAGCTATTTGTTTTGAGAGGTTGATTGCGACGATCGACCGGCGCATTTCTCTCGAACATGTGTTTAGCAGCAGGCAATGTAATGACAAGCAGCTGCGAAGGATTTTCATGAGATGAAGGTGAGTGTTCAATCAGTTTTCGGTCCCTTTTTCACCAGTGTGAATTGTACTCCATACAATGCAGTTGCTAGTGTGTTTGAAAGGATTTCTGACATAATATGTTAGATACTTCCCTCCCACCAGCATGCATGGCAGAGCATGTGTACAGCACGCAGTGCAGAGCAGCAGTCAAGACAGCAAGCACCATTGCCATCTTTAGCTCGAGAGGCCTCTCGGCAGACCAAAAGGTTACCATCACCCTTCCCCGCCCGCAGAGCGTGATCGGGGACGGTGTCGAGGACGTTTCGGTCGAGGACGGGAAACGGACTTCGAGTGGAGTTCGACGACTTCAGGAGCGTTGAGCAGTTGACAGGATTGAGGGGGCGGCCATCGTGAGGCCTGTCCCCATCCCCACTGGGAGAGCCCTGGCCCCGTTGCCCGGCTTGCTCCACCCTGGGTCCCTGGGTGGGGGCCAGATGTGAAGGGGCCCTGGGACACACAAATAAATACACACGAATAAAAAGATTCCCCACATTTTCCTACATGTTCTGGGTTTCTGTCTTCCCCCCCCCTGCCCATATCTTCCCATACTTTCTGGGGAATCGGCGATGAATTGTGTCTGTGTGTTTCTTCCCCTCCTGAAGATGGTAACTCCGTCGGGCCTGCCCGAGACGCCGAGGGACATACTGGTACCGTGTGCCGATGTTGGAGGCGCACGCCCGACACGAACATGCAGCACAAGCGTCTCGAAGCATCTCTTCTCCCGACCGGCATGGCCGGAAAACACGCGCCGCCAGGCATACCTGTACGACCGCCCTTCGGGTGACAAGGAGTTGTGGGGGGGAAGGGGGGAACCAACATCTGACTCAATCGATCTCACTATCGATCTCACTCAACGGGACACCACGGGACACCACGGGACACTTGTCGATCTCACTATCGATCTCACTCAACGGGACACCACGGGCCACCACGGGCCACCACGGGACACCACGGGACACCGCGGGACACCTCTCGATCTCACTATCGGTCTTACTATCGATCTCACGCAGCGGGACACCATAGGACACCACGGGAGACCTCGGGAAACCACATCGATCTCACTATCGATCTCACTATTAATCTCACTCAACGGGACACCATGGGACACCTCGGGGCACCTGTCGATCTCACTATCGATCTCAATATCGATCTCACTCAACGGGACACCACGGGACACCTCGGGACACCTGTCGATCTCACTATCGATCTCACTCAGCGGGACACCACGGGACACCACGGGACACCTCGGGGCACCACATCGATCTCAGTATCGATCTCAATATCGCTCTCACTCAACGGGACACCACCTGACACCACGGGACACCGCGCAGCACCGGCCGCCGGAGGAGAAACATTTGGTCTGGCCGCGGCCCAGCCACAGAGCAGGATTTCGGGACACCAGCGGGACACCGGCGGGACACCGCGCGGCACTGGCCGCCGGAGGAGTTACAGTTGGTCCGGTCCGGCCGTGGCCCAGCCACAGGAGAGAGCATTTCCTCGAGGCCCACGCAGCTTCGCCTCGCCCGCACGCACGCACGGTATGCACGACACGAACCCGAAACCGAAATCGATTTCCCAGTAGGGGGGGTCTCCGTTTCACGTCGGACTCACCCCCCAACCTCCGACAGCAGAAGACTTCTCAGCGCGCGCGTCGCCCCTGGGGTGTACTCCAGATTTCGTAATAAAAGGGAGGGGGTCTGGACCCTCCAAGACAAGCCATTTCAGACCTCCCCCGTGGGAGAACCCTCCAAAACATCGTCCCCTGACCCCCCCAGGCCCTCCAAGGTAGCTTGGAAGAGACCCCCCCCGAAATGAGACCCCCCTCCCTTTATTACGAAATCTGGTGTAAACGCACACACAGTAGGGAGGGGTCGGCGCCCTGGGAGACCCGGGGGCAAGGGCCCCCCCGCCCCAGGGCCCCGGAGCAGCAGTCCCCGCTGCAGCCGCGCCCGCCGTGTCGCGCGCGCTCGGCCGGGAGCCTGCCGGCGGAGGAGGGCCAGCCGCGGGGCCTCGTCCTCGAGTCGGGTCGGGCGAAAGGGGGGGATAGCAAAGGGGGGGTTTGAGAATCAGCTCACGTAGCTGATTTTCCCGGCGCCTCACGGCGCTGGAGGCGCCCATGTATCAAGGAATGGGCCCATCGGTGAGGCCGAAACCAGCTGCATGCAGCAGATTTCGTAACCCCCCCTTTCCCAACCCCCCCCTTTCGCCCGACCCGATCGAGAAGGTGTCCCTCTTCGAGGAGCTGGCTCTGGCGCGCGCGTCGCCCCTGGGGTGATGCCGATGCCCAGCACAGGGTCGGGGCAGACGCAAAGAGGGGTTGGCGACTCGGCCGCACGCAGCCGGCTCCCCCGGCGCCTCGCGGCGGAGGCGCCAGTGTATCCCAGGCGGTGGGGGGGAGGAGGAGGAGAAGGAGGAGGAGGAGGAGGAGGAGGCGGAGGAGGAGGAGGAGGAGGAGGCGAGGGAGAAGACAAGACAAGACAAGACATCGCAGTGGAGCTTCAGGTCGATAACTTCGAGGAATCGATAAGCTCTGCGCGCTGCTTTAGCAGCTTGACCTCGGTCGCAACGCAGGTGGCCTGTCGGGCACCACCCGCGCGGCCCCAAACCAGGCGGCCCCACGACGAGGCGCGCAGCCCAGGGGGTGCCCAGCATAGGGGACCGACTACAAAAACTAGACTCTCTTGCAGTTGCTTGCCTCGTTGCGAGGACGAGGAGGAGGAGGAACGGCACGGGGGGCAGAGGAGGAGAGGAGAGGAGAGTCTACCTGGCCCCTCAGCCTCCTCAGGCCGCCAACGCTGATGACCCAGTCGAGGTCGTCAGTCCTGCCGACGACGCCTATGTCCTCCCACGCTTGCAGTGCGCTGTCCATGATATCCAGGGTCCAGGGTCCAGTCCTCCAGGTCGGCGCACGGCGTCTCCGTCCCCTCCTGTGCCATGGAGACCAGCTTATCATATATCATGTCGACAAACTGAAGTTTTTCCAGCATGGTGGGGTTGACGACGCCCTCCAGCTCCCACTGCGTACCCTCGAACTCATCCTTCTCAGACCGCTGGTTCATGTCGAGACCGTCGGCCAAGCCCTCTGCGGGCTCGCGTGGAGCGGGCTTGGCTGCCCCCGTTGATGGTGTCGTCCACGTCAGTGGGATGGCACGGACCAGCCCCGCCCCCGCCCTGACCCACAACAAGTCATCGCAGCCCTCCGTCGCGGTGACACTGCGAGGGCCAGCACATCGATCAGGAACCGAGCAGCGACCAGGTCCAGCAGCAGAATCAGCGCCACGTACTGGGCCAGCGCCACGAACATGTGCACGAACAGCGCCTCCAAGATCCGAGCAACGAGCAAGAACAGCGCCAGTATCGGGTACGGCGTCACCGTCAGGGATGGCGTCACCAGGCCTCCTCTCGTTCGGGATGGTAATCTGGTTGGGCTCGACCCCGTACTTGTCCTGTGCGGACTCGTGCAGGAGGCCGTTCACGTCGATGTTGATGCCCTCCAGCTCCTTCTGCGCGCCCCCGAACGCATCCTTCTCGGACAGCTGGTTCGCGTCGAGCCCATTGTGGGTAGCCTTCGCTGCCTCCTCAGTCATCTCCTGCTCCTCGTCCTCGGACTCCTGCCACTTGGTGCCGCCAACGTCCTCGAACGAGCCCTCGTTCTCCTCCACGCTCTCCTCAACGTTCTCCAACATGCCGTAGTGCACTGTGCGCGCCATGTGCAGCCGTAGCCTCCGATCCGCGCGGCGACGCGCCTCGGAACGGCCCGGAGAGGGGTGCCACAGCCCAGGCGGGGCGGGCACACGCATCGTGCGGTCGCGCGCGAGAGTCAAGAGAATGCCATTCTGCCGAACTGCAGTCGGCGCCATCTGCTGGCGACTGGCGGACGCCGAGGCCATCGCAAACGCAACGGGCCTCTGCGGCGCTGGTGTGTTGAGAGCCCCCCGCTCATCGTGGCAAACGCTCGAGCGAAGAGGGGCTAGGCGAGGGAGAAGGAGGAGGAGGCGCAACAAGCACGACGAGAGGGACGAGGGAGGGGGCGGAGGTAGGGAGGTAGAAGAAAAAGCCACAAAAGCATAAACTTTTGGCGCTCCAGGCGGATTTCTTGGATTCGCGCCTGGGCCCCCCTCCTTGGCGCGCGGAGCGCGCCAGGGGCGGCGCCAGAGGCGCCGCCGGGGGGGGGGGCCGGAGGCGCGAATCCAAGAGATCCGCGCGGAGCGCCAAAAGTTTCTGCTTCTGTGGTTGCTTCTTCTTCTTCTTCCTCCTCCTCCTCTTCTTATTCCTCTTCCTCCTCCTCTTCTTCTTCCTCTTCTTCTTCTTCTTCTTCGAGGAGGGGGGCCTGCTTTGCCCAGCGGAACCCCGCCGGGGCGCCCGCGCAGCCCCGCCCCGCCCCCCGGGAGGCCCACGCGCGCGGGCGGGCCCCGCACCGCGGCCGTCACTCGGTGGGCTCTGCGGCCTCCTGGCCCAGGGGGGGCGACCGGTCGGGTCGGACGACGTGCCATGAGACGCTTCTGGGGCGACGAGACCACCACCCAGCCATGCTCGCGTCGCAACAGGGAAGTCAGGACGGGGCTCCTGAGCCACAACGCAGGCTGTGCACTACTGCGAGAGCGGGTCGGCACGAACCTCGACGCCACGAAGTTGGAAGAGTGCCGAACTGCGAATCGTCGGGCACAGACCATCGAGAAGCGAATTCGTCCGCAAACAAATGGTGCCTTGCCCTGGGGGTCCACCTGTGGGGGCTCTCGCCGGGCCCGGGGACTTTCGAAGGGAAAACGATCCAAGACGAGGAGGAGGGGGAGGAAGAGGAGGAGGAGGAGGAGGAGGAGGAGGAGGAGGAGGAGGACTTCTGGGGGCCGCGTGCGGACAAAATCGGGGCATCGCATGTCTGGGTACACCTCCAACTGCTCCCCGGCCAGGCCCATCCTGCACCCGGCAGCGGTGCACACGCCGGCGGCCTCCTGGCCTGGCCAGGAGGGCGTGCGCACAGCTGGGGGGGCCCGGCCAGGGGGCACTGGACATGCACAGATCTCTTCGCCCGAGCCTTGGCGGGCCCTGAAAGCGGCAGGGCGACTGTTCTTGCCGTTCCCGTAGCAGTGGATCTTGATGGCGAGAACTGGCTCACCGAAGCCGAACAGAAAACTGCGCCAAGAGTTGGAGCTGGAACCAGAAAAGACGCGGGGACGACACCGAGAAACAAAAGCTGGGCAGGAACCTGAAAGTAGACAAGAAGCACGTTCTGGAACGACGGCCCTGCTGCTTCCGAGGCACACCAAGGCGTGCACTCCCCTAGTCCTCATCGCCTTCCTGCGTGGACGCCGCCGAAACGAGGCCCAGCCAGCGTGATCTCCTCCTCCTCCTCCTCCTCCTCCTCCTCCTCCCGGCTCTCAAGGCTGGGACGCCTGGATCTGGGGGGGCACCTCCTCCTCCTCGTCCTCCTCCTCCTCCTTCTCCTCCTCCTCCTCCTGGCTCTCAAGGCTGGGACGCCTGGATCTGGGGGAACACCTCCTCCTCTTCCTCCACCTCCTCCTCCTCCTCCTCCTCCTCCTCCTCCTCCTGGCTCTCAAGGCTGGGACGCCTGGATCTGGGGGAACACCTCCTCCTCTTCCTCCACCTCCTC